TGACCGAGTTTGTACTTTCGACGACGCCTCTCCCCCATAGAAGCACTCAAGAGATTTATATCTGTTCACTCCCAAAGTTGCTCTTTTAACAAATCACGCACTTAATTCAACACAATACGTATAACACAATACTGTTTCCTCTTTTTTAAAATCAACCATGTTACACTGGCATGTTTAGTGGGTGGTTGACTTGATTCTGCCCCGCAGGCGTTAATCAAAGTAAATGTCGTGTTTGTAACCTATCGAATCAATTGGGCAATTACTCTATGGAAAAACAAGGCTGTGCTCTATCACGCGCCACAAGTAGACAAGTTAGAGCCTCTTAAAAGCGCATTGAATCCTGAAATGACGGAATATAACTTATGAATAGAGCTTCATGCCAAAGCAGAGGCGTCATCGACTGAAACTAAACATCGAACATTGTCATTTTACCAATACAAGTTCGGATTCCTCTAATGACACAAGTCTGTAGTCTGCTTCTAACTTCAGAATTTACGTTAAGAACTGCCAACATGCACTAATAATCAGCAAGCCTCTCCTCACGCGAAGCGTTGACCGACTGGCATAACTAATCACTTTTTAAAAAGCGTCAGCTCTCGTCCAGAGCAGTCCTCTCTGAAGTTGAAGTGTGGTGAAACATGGCAATAGAAAAAAAGCTGTTGTGTTCTCCGTTCATTAATGACCGGACAATGGAGAAAACGTTCTCTAGTGAACGAGATGCGTTGTGCAGGAAACTCTTTGAGACACAGTTCACGACAATTTTAGAGAACATTTTCAAGCTGAAAAGCGGATATATTGGATGGGAGTAGTGCATGGTGCAATGGTGGTAAAGGAAGCGAGAAAATTCACAACTTTAGCTCTTAATAAGGCCTCTCAAAAGAGTGAAAACAGAAGTTATACGAGATCATCATGACGGAAATAACATAGAAGAGGTACTAAGACGAGAATCCATCAGTTGCAATTGCGCAAAGAGCTGACTGCATCAAGCCAAACCTGTCCAGGATCGCATTTAACTGTCTGGTTAGTTATTTGAACTTCCTACATGGGTTCGCTCGCGAATGGGGCAGCCTCTACAATGCCATTGAGGCTCGTCAGCGCGTACACAAGGGGCAATCTATTCGAGCCTTTATACAGCTCTATCTAGGCCTTTATCCTACCTGTCAGGGCTACATATGGCACATGAGGGGTCCACACATCCTAAAACACCTAATACGCCATTTTTTTATCTCGATCTGTGCTTCTGTTCAGCTACACTTAAAGCAAGAATCAGTGTAATAACGATTTACAAGCAAAAAAAAATCGCTTAAAATCTTAATAAGACGGGATAGGACTCGCGGTCTTGATCAACGCGTTGTGTCAACTGCTAAGTAGTGACGAAGACGACGGCAGGCGTACATTTGCCAAACGCACCTCGGTAGCAACACAGCGCAAAAACAGTTTTCAATTTCAAATACCCTTTTTTGACTATCGAACAACCGTTTTTTAGTATCGTATCATAACGACAAACAAAAATCGTTTTGCAATTACGCTCCCAACTCTTCCTCAAAATTAAAAAAACGAGAAAGACCACACTATAAAAACGAACCTGCTCTACGTATGAAGTCACAGGTATAATTCTCGAGGTCTTTCCAGGTTCTACACGAAGCATTACTGGTTGACCAACTTCAACAGGTCGGAATTGCTTTTTGCTAGGGAGAAAAGCTTGCAACGACTGCATACCGATGTCCAAAATAGCACCTACATAATTGAAGCGTTTTTTTCCAAATAGATTTCAAAAGAAATGGAATCGCAGAAAAAGCTTTACCTTTCTCTTCGACACTCTCCACGATACCTTGCAACACTAATCCAGGTGCCAATGTTGTCGGTGAAAAGTGAGAATACAGCTTTGAAGGGTCGCAGGTGACAATTGGTAATGTTGAGTTCCTTTTCTTGGAATTGGATTTTCCCTTCTTCGTTGCTTGAAACAGAGAACAGTCAAATTGGGCAAGAGTAATATATATCCCATAAATAGGAAGGAGGCTTACAAGTTTGCAAATTTCGTCCAATAACGCGAAATGGCACCATTTGACCAACAACGAATGCAACATCGAGAGAAACTTTTTCGAGTTTCAGCAACTCCGTAAACTTTTTGGATATCTGGAAAGTAAGCAAGGATGCGAATATTGGGAGACCTTGGACATCAGTAAGAACTGCTAAGTAAACATGTGGAGTTTAATTTCAGAGTGAAAAAGATAAATTCGAACATGCCTGAGTGGCTGGAAGCCTGACGCGGCATGAGTCTGCAGTTTCTAATAGAACAAAATCCTCGTGAATCTGAATAATGGCTAATTGAAACTGTTGCGTAGTAACGAGATGAATAGCAATACTAGAATGAAAGGGCAGCTGGATAAAGGAAAGTAGCTCAAGAGACCGAATAGCACTCAAAACATACCAGAGCATAGCAGATCGAAAGAATGAAAAAGTTCTCAAATCATTGAATAGATAGATATAACGTAATCGCATAATCAAATTTTCCTAGAAATATGTTTCGCTCACCTCTGTAACAACTCCTAGTCCTAAGACACCGTCAGTAAGAAGCTCTAACGTTACAGGTTTGCTCCATACAGTTGATTTTCCTTCTAACTTTTTCTTTTTGGTGGGCGTCTCAGGAGATGTAGAACCTCTGCTCTTTGCTTTTCGCTACAAAAGTAACTATAAACAACTCTAAAAAAGAAGCTCATACAGTGAAAAAGTGAAAATGATAGAATTTCATGATCCACCGACATCGGATGTTTTTTTCATTAAGTGAATTAATTCATATTCCTAATTTCACATGCGAAATCCCTCTTATATAGTAGTAATCACATCAAGTGTAACTCTACCTATAGTCGAACTTATTTTCATATATTGCCATAGGATCCTAGAACAGGTCGTCATTCACCTGGCGCAGAAAAACACAAAGATAAATTGAGAAAACTAGCGACAAATGATTCCCATTCAGAAATGCAAGCCTCAAGGAAACAGGGAGGAGTTTTAAGATCACCCTGATCATTTTTTGAGACAATGTTACCAGCACTTGACATCGGAGATTTCTTATGGTTCCATTTCTCAAAGAACCTCAGAACATCAAGATAGAGCTAATAATTATTGAGTGAGATCAACAGCAATCAAATGCTGGATTTGAAAGTACTCTCACACAGGGAGCAATACGTTTACCAAGTACAGTTCAATCAAGGCCCTGCTCCCAGCAAGCGTTAGCGTCCATTCGTGTGATCGGTACCAACGAATCGTAAAGATGGGGAAGTGCAAAAACTATAGAAGCAAATAAAATACTCAGTAGCATGGTTCACAATTCTCATCTCTTCATACTTCTCTGCACAGCTTTATAAATTTAAAATTTTGACTCACAAAAACTATGAAAACCTTATCCTATATGAATCGATTAGATGAACAACCTTTTTCGATACACCGAACAACTGATTATCTTCTTTGTTCGATTTCAAATCCTTTGCAATCTTTGATTTTACTGCGTGAGATTTCCGAACTGCTGGTGCTCCACCACGAGGGAAATCGACTTCCTTTTCAGGAACACCCATGACAGGAGTTGTACCTAAATATTTCTGTTCAAGCTTCAAAAATTCTGAAAAGCATGAAAACTAGAGAAAAAGAAATAAGCAAAGCTAATAAGTTGAATCTTGTAAAGGAGAGGGAAAAGAATCAGCAGTGGCGCGACAGGAGAACTCGTCTTCAATAACTCCGCCCACCAGGACCGGCGTGAAGGGGAAGAGGATCGAATGGTGACTGCATAAGCAGAAAAGGCAGTCGCTTCTACCAGACAAACTTGNATTAGTGAGACGCGAAAACTTCTTTATGCCCAAAATTCATACATTGAAGTTCCAATATCGATCAACATTATACCATGATTTATAATTTTGTCACGAGCCACTCCTGGTAACCGACTGATTTCATTGGCTATAAGATAGGAGACTCCTTCAGCTTGTTTAGAATACTGTAGGATCCATGAAATATGTGATGTTGGATATCTTATCTATTGCTTATAAATCATCATTTTAGTTATCTTATCATTGGAAACTACCTGAAGTTGCTTCTAATAGCTAGTCTCATAAGCGACCATAACCTTGAAAAAACGGCAGTGAAGCAGACGTCTTCATCGGGAGTTCCTGAAGGCGTCCATGGTGGACCACATGCGCGCCGCTGTTAACGAGGCATGTGCAGGTGTGCAGGCAGGAGATGGTGGCCCTTTTGGAGCGGTTGTGATAAAGGAAGGAAAAATAGTGGCCTCAGGACATAACATGGTGCGTTTACTACTCTTACTTCGACGGATGAACTTTCAAGTTTTGCTCTTTGTAGTCACATTGTACTGTAAAAAATGAATTCTGTATTTTACAGGTGTTGGCTGCAAAGGATCCCACAGCGCACGCTGAAATGACCGCCATTCGAAATGCATGCAAGGCACTCAGTGAGTGTGTGAGTTCAGAGTTAGCGACAAAATCAATGCCGCTATGGGGCGACTCGACGACAATGACATGAACTACTGCTGCCTAGCTAAATAGTCCAAGCAAGCTTTGGCAATTCATAGTTTTGTTTCGCATATTTGTGGCTGCATGTAGCTTCAGCGATGAAAAAAAAAAGATTTAGAGTTTACCCACAAGAGAAAAAAATGATGGGAATGACTAAGATGAAGCCAAAGGCGCTCTACAGAAGCGACACACATCTCGCTCAATCCATGACGATTAAAGCATAGTAGGTCTACAAGCGGGTGTGGTACATTGGTAAGCGGTGCACTACCACACACGCATGGTCCGGGGTCGAAACCATGATGGACACTCCCCTACGATTCTGAAAGGAAATCGAATGCAGGGATGCATTCCAAAAACGTGATTGGTTGGCCCAAAAATTAATTTTACAACAACATGCTACTACTCCTTATCCTAGGTCGAGGCTTAGAATGGTTAGTTTGATGCTGCGGGGAGGGGGGCATATTAACGGAGGGAGTATTTGAGTACTCACCATAGATTGTGCGACTCATCGAACGACACGTGTATGTCTTCGCCTAGCAAGACATTTTCATGGTCCGACAACGTCTTTGCCGTCTGCGACTGAAGTACTACAGTAGTTTTCACAACCAGGGTTTTAATTGGGAGTTCACGGGGAGACGGGCGTTAGGAACGATTTTGGGTAAT